GTCTATCAATTGCATTGAAGATAGTTTCCGGGGGAGGTCGATATGTGGTTGTGAAGTCTGGTGTTCTTTTCAAACCAGAACTTGTAAATTGTTGCATGGGCAACAAGTCTGCGTAGAGTTCGTGGACAGGTTGCATCTTTCACACTTAGCCAATCACTGAATGCCGTCCAAGTATGAAAAAGAAATGGTCTATATCCAAGCCGACGGATCACTATTTCCCACACCTTCTCACTAACCTCACATCTCAAGAAAAGGTGATCACGGTGCTCTACGTATTGGTTGCATAAGCAGCAAGCTTGGTCAATTTGTAATCCCCATGACACAAGTCTTGCCCTTGTAGGGAGACGGTCAAGCTGAGCCACCCACATCGTGAAGGCATGCCGGGGGAATAAAACCTTTAAACCAAATATTACTTGTCCATATATAGTTGATAATTCTCTCTCGGCCTCAGAGATTCCCATGTGAGTTTTGAGGAGTATGTCTCTAGGTCTTCTCCTAGTACATGCCAGTAGTAAGAGTCAGGAGAGCTAGAGGAAGATGGCAAAGGAACGGTGGTGAGAGAAATCTGAAGTTCTTCAGCTTCAGCTGATCTTGCTGGTCTCAAACTCCAGCCCATTCTTGTGCAACATGAAGCAACATTTGAAGAGATGGGAATGCCAAGCTGTCGAGGACCGCATGGTCCAAACCTGTTGATAAGAGGTCTCATAGACATCCAATAGTCAAACTAGAAACTAGCAACTTCTCCATTTCCTAATCTAAATCTTAAGAATTTTGCTGCAAGAGGACGTAAAGTGTAAGAGAGATTTCCAGATCCATGACGAGTGTTTTTTTTCATCAATTCCCCAAAAATTCTCATCCTTTATCCTGTGTGTGTTACTCCATGTTGCCCAGAGAGAATTGGTTTTTGCAAACAACATCCATATCAATCTCAGACACAAAGTTTTATTCCAAATGGTGAAATTTCTCAAACCTAACCCACCTTCTTCTCTAGGAAGACAAATAGAGCTCCATGATATCTTTGCCACAGCTCGACTATTGATATTTCCATTCCAAAGAAATCTAGAGCACATCGTTTCAATCTTCTTTAAACAACCCTTTGGCATAATGAAAGCTGATATCCAGAAGTTGACAGTACTGTAGATGACTGAGGAGATCAATTGTTTTCTTCCAGCGAAAGATAAAGCTCGAGATGACCAAGAGGTGAATCGAGTAGTGAGCTGATCCAGCAATGGCCTGTAGTCAGAAATTCTCAGTTTTTGATGCATCAAGGGAAGCCCCAAGTACCTGATTGGTAATGATCCGAGAGAGAAACCAAGACTTGTGATGTCATTTCATCCTGGTTCAACCTAGCACAGAAAAGCTCTGTCTTGCTACGGTTCATGGTCAAACCTGAACATTCCGAGAAACTCTGTAAAGTGTCAGCAATATTCTGCAGAGAGAGCTTATTACCATCAAAGAATACCATAATGTCATCTGCAAAGGCAAGGTGTGTTACTTGCGGGTTGGCTGCAGCTGGGTGGTATCCAATCGAACCATTGCTATACTTATAATTCAAACATTTGAGAAAAAACTTCCATTGCCAAGACAAATAAGTAAGGAGAGAGAGGGTCTCCCTGTCTCAGCCCCTTTGAACCTTTGAAATATCCACATAATTCATCATTGATTGAAACTGAAAAAGTGGTCGTTGTGAGACATTGGCTTATGAGGTTGATGAAATGATGTGGGAAGTTAAGAGCATGCAACGTGTTGATAACAAACTTCCAGTCAAATGAATCAAACGCTTTCTTGAGGTCAACTTTGAGCATAGATCTCTTTGAATTTTTTTTTCCAATTGTATCCCTGAATCAACTCAGTAGCCAAAAGAACATTCTCTACTAATAATTTTCCTGGGATGAACACAGATTGAGAATTAGAGATGATATTAGGAAGAACCTGTTTTAGCTGGTTAGCAAGAAGCTTAGAGACTACTTTATACAAGGTGTTGCAACAAGAAATAGGTCTGTACTCTGAGATCTTTGTTGCATTAGGGATCAGACTTAAAATGGTGGCATTCCACTGTTTTAAGATCATGCCCGACTCAAAGAATTCCATCACTGCCTCTATCATATCTCTCCCAACAGTATGCCAATGAGCTGTGAAAAACTCTGCCGGTAACCGTCAGGTCCAGGAGCCTTATTCTTAGGGAGAGAAAAGAAAGCGTTTTGGATATCAAGAGGGGGTGAAAGGGTCAGACAAAGTCTCTCTTACGCTTGTAGAACATCGGTATGGCACTAAAGAGGCAATGCCATCAGGAGAGGAAGAGGTTGTTGTAGATGGACCTCCAAGAAGGTTCTCATAAGAACCAACAACATGCTTTTTAATGCCCTCCTTGGAATCAATAATGCCGTCATTCTCATCAAGCAGATATATGATCTGATTTTGTGCTTGCCGTGTGATGATGGATCGATGGAAGAAAGTCGAATTTGAGTCTCCCACATCAAGCCAGGTTACCCTTGATCTTTGCCTTAAAAAATGATTCTTCTGCCATAGCAAGGGTATACCACTTCCGATGAGCTTCTTCTTCATTCTGGGCTGCTGCTGGAGAAGGAGAATTTAGAAGAACTTGTTGACAGGCCATAAGCTGAGAAAATGTTTCTGCAACTCTTTTCTCAATGTGGGAGTAGTTTTGACGGCTGAAACCTCTAATAACACTTTTTAGTTCTTTTAGCCTTTTGGAAACGCATAACATCTTAGTCCCTGCAAAAGTTAAAGATTCCCAACATGCTCTAATAAGCTCAGCAAAATCCGGGTGCTTGTTAAGAAGACAGAAGAACTTAAATGGTCTTTTTAGTTTTGGCTCCATGGAGTCAAGGAACACACAACATGGACTGTGATCTGAAATACCCGGTTCCCCAAAAAGCCAATAGAATTCGGGAAAGAGACAAACCATGAGTCATTCACCATGATTCTGTTTAATTTCTTTGCGACAACACCTGAGCTATGCTTATTTGTCCACGTATAGGTGTTTCCACAAAACGGCAAATCCAGGAGACCTGCTCTATTAACACACTGAGAGAGAAATCCCTCATCCCGCTTGAAGATGAAAAAGGATCTGCAGTAGAGTGCTCTGAAGGAAACAGGTTCTGATTAAAATCACCCAATACATTCCAAGGTGAACCAGCAATCTGAGAAGAAAACGCTAATGACTCAAGATCAGACCAAAGAAGCTTCCTCTCCTTTTTGCAAGTAGATCCATAGATAAAGGACACAGCAAACTCCACATCAATAAATGGTAACTTGACCAGGCAAGTGATCGACTGAAGAGATTTGTGAATTACGTTGACGACAACAGAAGGATGCCAAAGCAGCCAAATCTTGCCCAACTCTGAAAATTCATAATTTGCATCAAAGTGCCAATCTGGAAAAGCTCGATTAATAATATACTGAGCTTTCAAAGGACTAACATGAGTCTCAACAAGACTCCCAAAAATAGGTTGGTTGACCTTCTTCCATTTCCTAAAGCCGATACGTTTTATTTTATCGTTAAACCCTCTAATGTTCCAACAAAAAATATCCATAGAGGGGAGAGATTAGAGGGTTAAAGGGCCTCCAGCCCTAGCTCTAGCATTATTTTGCTTCTTAATTCGTTTGGAGATCACCTGAATAAATCGATCTCCACTTTCTGCCGGGTTATCTATCATCGTTCAAAAAACTTCCAGATTCTGAGTCCATTTCTGTTTCTGAATCCCTGCGAGAGGAAAGAGAATATTTCGGAGATGAACAAACAGATTAGAACGCAGATCAACACACAAACTGCCATCAACAAGACCAAATGAGTAAGCTTTGGAGAAGTCTTGCACAACTGATTTTGATGCTGCAGCTTTAGGATCAACTGATGTAGGAGCCACTGATTTTGATGATTCACCAGTGCTATTGCTGGCTACAACCTTTCCTGCATTGCCTACGTTGAGAAGAGAAGATTTTTTAGCAACATACTTTAAGCCGCCTCCTGCTGTTTGTGAACCGATTCCAACAGGCTGTGGAACAATAGGAAGCTGGCTAGCAATAGGAGCTTTCCCCTTGTTCATATTTTTCTTTGCTCTAGGACAACCATTCACATTGTTGGGTTACGATCCTGTTCATGCTCAATTCAAAGCAGTGACCCTTTTGTCTTGTCCTACCCGGCATAAATATATTTTAAAGTGCACGAGGTGTTAAGACTTGGAGGAGGATCCTCATCTTCATCTTCAGGGATAGGCAGAAAGTTTGCAACACCATATTATGAGACTGCAACTAGTACTGCAATAGCTATCGATGGTTTCGTGTATCATGGTGCTTGGATGCCAAGACGATGGGAGAATCCGGTGATTGTGTGTTTTGATGTTACAAGTGAGAGTATAAGTTTCATCAAAGCGCCTATGGCTGCTGTGGTCTGGGGGAGTAATTCAATATTGATAGAATACAAAGGGAAGCTAGCTTGCATTGCAAGGCAGCCTTATGCAAAAGACGGTTTTGCTTATTTCCATGGTTTTCATCTGTGGATATTGGAGGACTTGCAGAAGCATGATTGGTCCAAGCAATCATTTGAGCTTCCTTTCTCTCTAGGCTTGGATATCACTTCCCCTGGCACCAACAAGGCTGGTGAAATCATTTTTGCACCAAAATATCTGTCACGCAATGCTCAACCTTTTTACATTTTCTACTACAATCTTGAAAGGAAAGACATGAGAAGAGTTAGGCTCCTAGGAATTTCAGACGATGAAGAGCTTAGGCGGGTTTATGGATTCCAACTACAATGTCGCGTCTATATCTCACCTGAACACGTCGAAACTATTGCCTCTATATAATGCATGTGGTGTATGTATTTCTTCATGTATGAGCTTGACAAACTCTTGGTTTTTTTCTTCTTGAATCAATAATATTTAAGCGTTGGCTTATCGAATCATGGATTAAATCTCTTCCTCAAAAGAAAAGAAACAACAAAAAACTGAAATAATGACACATAAGCCATACGTAGCACATAATTTGAAATCCAAAAACCAGATATAAATCCCTCTAAAACACATTAAACGAACAACATGTAGAGTAAAAGCTGTATATGATAAAACGAGTCTCACATATATATAAGATCATTCATATTCAAACACAAGGTCGCATGAATCAGAAGCCCTGACCACACCAGGCAATTCGTTGAGCATCTGTTGTCTTTTTGCCAACTTGAAGAGCCTTTTCGATTCAATGTGATCTAAGGAAAACGTTGCCTTCTTCAACTGTCTTGCGTTGCTTAGAATATATCTAGCCACTTCTTTCTCTTCTTCTCTTATCCAATCGGGTCTTGTCCACACAAATGTCTCCAAATGGGACAAGAGACATTCAGGGACATCCTCTGGTTGGTTCCATTTCCCCGGCTCCATATTTTTCTTGTTAGAAACCAGATTTTGCTTATCAGACGAATGCTACACACAAGGGAAATGCGATGTATTTATTATTAACAGACCTTCAAAATGAACCTTAACGAGAGACCATCAACATAACTAGTTAACTAATAATAAAATGTCTTACATCAATGAGCTTTAGGACTTGTAGTTTAGGCGAGCTATCAAGCATCAGCGTAAGCAGATTCCACCACTCCACTTTATGTGTACACATCTCTAGACAAACCAGTTGATAGAAGATTGTTCTAGCAGGATATGTAATCTATTCATGAGACAGTTGTTAGTATATACAAAAATGTAAAAAGGGAACAACAGATAAGTCAAATGACTAGCACAGTTTACCTGCAAAGGTGATAAATCCAAGGAAAGACGTTTGGCTGACTTGAGAGAGCCCATAATCACCTGATTGGCTATATGAGAAACGTCTTCAATATTTGCCTCAACTAGCTCGGACGCATTCTCAATGAAACAAAACTCATAGCCTTTTAACCTTTCAATACTCAAGTATTCCAAAGAAGGAGCGTTTATCACATAGCCTCCATCCACTCGTCCACACCTGTAATCGTCGTTAAGCAATAGTGTCTTCAGAGATGGAGCCTCAATAACGATCTTCACTAGAACATTATAGTTGAAACCTCGATGCAGGACCAAATGTTCAAGATTAGGACAGCTAGAGAAAAGGTTACGGACAGTTTCATCGTTTTGGTACACCACAGAATGAAGGTGAAGAGTTTTAAGAGACTTCATAGAAACCAGACAAGGAACATCCAGAATAACGGAATTCTTGAGCTTCAAGGTCTCAAGTGTATCAAAACAATACAAGCTACTCGGGAATCTGACTGGTTTACCAGAAATTAAATCAAGATCGAGTACCAACTCACGCACATGGCGTGTAATTGCAATTCCAGCCCATATTCCAATATATACATCCTCACATCTTTTAACTTTCAGATGCAGCTTCTCCAAAACTGGAGCTTTATGAGAAAGCAGAGTCTTGCAAACATTCTCTGAAAATTCAGGTATGTTACTGTTAGATTCAAACTGGAGAATCGGCACCATTTTCCAAACAGACCTCCATCGCTTAGACAAAACACTTGTGGCTATGACGAGTTTTGTTGGGAGTAAAGACAATATCTGCAGAATCAACTGTTCAGGCAACTCACTGATTCTGTCCTCACTCACAACACCGTGCTTTTTCAATCTTTCACCGCTAAAATCAAAGAAGAGAAAGATTTTAAGAGTTAGGGTTTGAAGCTTACGGATTAAGAACAGTTCATAGAGGATATGCAGAGAAAAGACATAAACGAAACAGAGAAACAAACCATTGTTCCATTTTCTACAGAAACTGCTTTGCTTGTGTAGATTCTTCAGATTCGTTCGTTCCCCAAATTCTCCTATCGTATTACTATTACACACTCCAAAAGCAAACGACAAGTAGTAATGAGAAAACGAAATCGAAAGATTAAAGAAAGAATCTAGGGCTTCATAATTAATACCGATCGGTTTTGTTCGGACCGAACCGAACATTAATACTTAATTTTCGTCTGGTTCAATAATGTTCAGCCATTAGACAGAACATTTTCCCACTTGGTCTTCACTTTTGACCTTTTTAAATTAACAGCATTTCTAATCTAAATTAACTTGAAAATCTCTACTTATCCAAGTTTACTCAACATCATGAAATAAAATAAAAACACCAAGATTGTAACATCACAGTGATAGTTAAATCATTGCTTAAATAATTTTTAACTCCCAATAGTTAAACAAACAGAGAACCATCCTAAAATCCAAAATCGATGTAATTAATTACATCCCCTCTAAGTCTCTAACCTTTTAAACTAAGATATATCGAATTCAAACATAAGGTGGGATGAATTCGAAGCCCTGGCCTAGTGACCTCTCTATCCAGTTTGTTCTCACCAGGTTAGAGAGTGCGATTGTGCGAGGTTCAGCATGTTTTATATAAAGACCAAACCAACACAACCAACTAATAACATAAACGAATCCGACAAATTTCAAGAATTAGCTAACCCAATTAAAAAAAAAAACAGCATACTAAATATTCAACTTGGCTAAAACAAAGCCCTAGTTTATCTATGTGTAACGCAATTGTTTTAACTAGAATTCATAAGAATGAGTGTTTATTAATTTAGTTTTCCGTTTGCAAAAACACAGACTCGTGGTTCGGTATCAGATTTATCAATTACCGGAATACACTTTTCTTAATAAGATAGTTCAAAACTATGCTTTTTAAAAATAAAATAAAAAAGGGAAAAAATGTACATAGCAAGCTGCACTTTTAATAATTTATTCATTTCACCTAATTTTTGTAGTATAATAATAAGTTCATGGACCTACATTACCCCTCAATGATTTTGTGTTCTTATGATAATAAAAATGGGGTAACTTAAAAGTATTGTTGTGCAACATAAACAAACGATGAATACAACATGCATATTGCATGAAAGAGGAAACCATCTATAGTTTTTTGTTTCTTCTATAGTTTCTTTCCTTTATGTCCATTTGATAAGTTGGAGTTTTTTTTTGTCGGGGTTTATTGGAGATTATAAAGAAACTATTATGATTTAGGAACATGTTAGTTGTTATATGGTTTTCTTCTGTTTCATATATTAAATTTTGATATTAAGGCGTGACTAGAATTTGTCATTTGTTTTTGAAGTCATACTTCTATCGATTAATGTGAATGGTGTTTACCTTCTTCTTTGAGTTGAATTGAGGTATCTAAGACAATCTTTTGGACACTTTCACACATAGACGTTGTAGACTTTTGTCTTTGTCAAAAGTCAATGTATTAATTTGTTTAAGTTTTATAAGTAAAATGAAATACTGATCCTACTGATGTTGAAATCAATGTGATATCTTATACTGTACATGACATAAGAGTGGGGATTAGTCTAAACGAAGACTTAAATTTTTTTAAAACATGTCATGAATTCTATCTCTTACAAACTTTTTTTTTTAAATTATACCACGTGGACCTACACGAATAATATATTACTAATGAATTGTTTGATCCATTTTCTCTGTCAACAATATATACTAGCAATGATCTGATAATCGTTTTAATTAAGAAAACATAATCAATCATGTGCAAAGATTTCCTTGGCTCCAATATACACTTGATCATGATTGTTTCTTTTAACTTGTAAAGTTCCGTTAATTTAGTTATCTATTTGCGCCTTTGCGGTCATCGCAATTTAAAACATGGCTCGTGGGTCGGTATTATTTTGTTTACGATTTTAAATTAATAATGACTGGCGGGGAATATACTACTTTTAATAAGAAAGTCATTTTTTCTAAAATAACACAAAGCTATGGGCCATGCTTTTTTTTAATTGTCAACAAACACAAAGCTAAGCTTTTTTAAAAGAAAAAAGTACGTATCACAGTCACAGATTATAAATTTCAAAGTCAAACCTTCAGAGAAAACGTGGCAAGTTCATGGATCTACATTGCTCCCTCAATTATTTCTTTTTTCCCGAGGGTTAACACTCAACGTCCCAAACTAATCCTCAAGTCTCCCAATGATTTTGTTCTCTTATTATGTATGATAAAAGATGATTCCTTCAACATGATTTTTTTTATATAATCCTTCTTCTCCCTTATTTTTTTTTAACAAGGGTTTTCTTCTCTTTGATGAGCACAAGCCCCGCCTTGAGCCTTAAGAGCAGGTAAGAGAGGCAACCGCCGCAGGCATCCATTTTAAAGGGGCATATTTTTTATGACATTCATTATAAAGGGACTTGTTAAAAAAAATTATTAGGGATCAAACTCTAGTTTCTTTCGAGTCTAGATTTAAACCGTTCCAAAAGTATAACCAAACTTTTAGGTTTTTGTTTGATATAAAAAAACTAATATCGGCTATCAATGATAGTTTTTCGAAATTGAAGCTGATAAGGAATTATTTACGCGTTACTATGTTACAAGAGCGATTGAATGGTGTTGAGAATCAAACACGAAGAAAGCAATAAACAATAAAGAGAAATCGTAAAATGAGGCAAACACCCGTTTAGAGTTTTCGTATTAATTGTGTGAATGAATAATTACAAACCTTAAGTCTTGTATTTATAGCCCCAAAAACCCGACTCCTTAACCCACTAGATAAAGAAAAACCTAAATCTACCCTATAAGAAAACCGTACAGAAGCCCCCCACACCCCCAAATAAATCTGCGTCCATCCATAGCTTTGTTATCCATTGAGACAAATATGGTTAAAAACTCGACTACGACAATTTAATGAATGATTTTACACGGAAAAAAACAAAAAATCTATATTTCAGCAATAAATTATATGTTTTATTGGATTTTTTTTTCTTACAAACCATTTATAGAGTTTTATTGTTTTATGAAGTTTATATTTTATTATTTTAATTTTTTTTTAAAATATAAAAGAGCATATTTTTAAAAGTTAGACACGGACATCCAAATTGATCGGTCCGGCATGGCATGAGCATTATAAAATCAGACTCTAAACTATTAGGCTTAACAATTTTTTGATGAATATAGGGAATATATACAGATATATACGTTCATACAAACTATTTGTACCAAATTCAATTATTACATTAATTGGCAACTCTATACTCCTAGCATATATCTACAAGTATGGACTAATTTACCCGATAATATAATTATCAATAATATTTTTATAGATTGGATGAGACGTACGTAATCTTCTTATTAGTCAAATTCCATTCTAAATATGCACTCTGTACGCTAATCATATATATTATAAGCAAAGTAAAATTTTGAGTTAAAACTCTCTAATTCAATTTCAGAGTGGTTAATTACCCTTTACCCCTCCTTATATTTTTCTAAAACAAAATTTAATAAAAAAAATTATTAAAAATCGAAAATTAATAAAATTTATTATTAAAAATCATAAATTAATAAAAAAAATTATTAAAATCGGAATTTAATAAAAAAATATTTAAGTTTTAAAAAATATTAAAAATTGTAAATTAATAAAAGAATTATATAAATCGGAATTTAATCAAAAAACATTTAAATTTTAAAAATTTATTAAAAATTGGAATTTAATAAAAAAACATTAAAATCATATCATATATACTATATGCGAAGTAAATTTTTCGGTATAAGTTCTCTTATTCAATTTAGGTGACTAATCATCATAGTATATATTAAAAGCGAAGTGAATTTTAGCTTTAAGAACCTCTCATTCAATCTCAGTGTGATTAATTATTTTTTTGTCCCTTTCTAAAAGGTCATTAATATCTTTTAATTGGTTAAAATTAAGTTTTATTTATAATTAACTATACTAAATTTTGTTACCATGAAGTTACTATTGGATCTTTTAATGCTATAAAATTGTATGGTTTTGTATATGAAAGCCCCAGGGCTCTCACTTTAGCCCTAATCTTCGATTAGTCAGAGCTTCTTCTTCAACCGGTGGTTTCTGTGTTTTGACGTTTGTGTTGTATTGCTTTATTAAAATTTTTGAATTAGGGTTTTTTGTTTAAAATCTTTGGGTCTGTATTCATGATGAATGAGGACGATTGAGTATTTAAGCTTTGCGATTAATTTCTATCGATATTGCTCTATAAGTCTATGACCGTTCGGATCCCATACTGTTTATGCTCCTCCATCTCAACTTTGTTTCTGTTTTTGCAATGTGTCTGGTTTATCCAAAAATAATTTTGTTTAGGACTTGAGATTCTATTTGGATTTCATGTTTAAGGTGTATTCATCTCAGTTAAATTTTGAGGAATCAAAGTGATGCTAATCATACTGATTTAGCGTTGTTTATTGTGATGTCCAGTTATAGTGAAGAATATATTCACAAGCATAAAATCGTAGCAAAACAAAAAAAAAATATTCACAAGCATAAAAGAGACCATATTGAACGAGTTTTTACTGTTCTCTAAGCCAAGTCGAATTGATCGCTCTACTTCTTCACTCTAATTATAGTAAAGACTGAAGAAATCGTTGGAATAAAGATTTCGATGAGCCTGGGACTCTTGCCCCAACCAGACTTTCTTGGCCGTGCGAAATACATGGTTATTCAAGGTGAACCAGGATGATGCATAATAGAATATAAATGGGAAATTATTGATTAAATTTAAACAAACTAGACCAATCAGGGTTTTAAAATTATATTTTCATGTTAAATCTTGTGGAATTGTTGAACAGAAAGTGTGATTTCACTAAAGACTGTTATTGGTAAAATCTTGCAATCATGCTAATTTAGGAATATTAGTAATGACACTTTCAGTGAGACTTTTGTTACAACATTTTTCTTAAACGGACCAAAGTATTTATGTGGTTGATTTTACGATTGGATAATGGAATGTAGGAGGGTCTTGAATTGGACATTTGCATATGGATACTACCTTGCTCATAATGAACATGCAAAGACACAATTTTTTCGAGTATTTGAAAGGGGAAGCTCGAGCTGGTTTGGA